CATGCGTAGGAAGAACGCGCGCCCTGAAAGATAGGCATGCTGGTGAAGCGCGCGAGGAAGAGTTGGGAAACGCGGAAGAGTTGGGGCCACGCGGAGGGAAATGATGAGCGGCTTGGCTCGGCTTGGTGGCTTGACTCAGCTGAGCGTGTTTCTTTCTATCTTAATATAGCTTATGTGGCTCGGCTTAGTGGCCTAAATAGGCTGAAAATGATATCCTCATGTTAGCTCTTCACACTGTTTTTCATATGTAAATATTTAAGGAAAAATTATACAAATTCTAATTAAAATATTCTGAATAAAAATAATGGAATTGTTTAATTAAAACTTAAATATTTTAATATTTTATAAATCAAAAGCAGTATTTAGGGTGCATCTTCATGCATTAATCATCGGGCTTCGTACACACCATTGCATACATTAAGTTACCCTCTGCATTAGCGTATGGAACTTTCGCCATATATTCTCCATCTTCAACGTTCTTCGGAGATAATTGTGAACTTAGTTTCAAGTGAGGAGCAAGTGTTTTGAATTCTCATTCATTCCAAAACGTTGTAGTAATTTCTTCAGATATTGCTTCTGAGTCAAACAAAGCTTGCCTCTCGATCTATCTCTGCTTATCTCCATCCCGAGAATCTTCTTGGCTTCACCTAAATCCTTCATCTCGAACTCTTGATTCAACTGAGCCTTCAATTTTTCTATCTCTGCTTCGCTCTTTGATGCAATCAGCATATCATCAACGTGTAAGAGTAAGTAAATGAAAGAACCATCTTGTAGCTTGCTCAAATACGCACAATGATCGCATTTGCTTCTGGTGTGCTTTTGCCTCATCATAAACTTGTCAAATCGCTTGTACCACTGCCTCGGAGATTGCTTCAATCTGTACAACGATTTGTTCAGCTTGCAAACCCAATTTTCTTTTCCAGCAATTGTAAATCCTTCTGGCTGGGTCATGTAGATTTCCTCTTCTAAATCGTGATCTTCAACATTCTTCGGAGATAATTGCGAACTTAGTTTCAAGTGAGGAGCAAGTGAGGTACTTACGGGTTTTGAATTCTCATTCATTCCAAAACGTTGTAGTAATTTCTTCAGATATTACTTCTGAGTCAAACAAAGCTTGCCTCTCGATCTATCTCTGCTTATCTCCATCCCGAGAATCTTCTTGGCTTCACCTAAATCCTTCATCTCGAACTCTTGATTCAACTGAGCCTTCAATTTTTCTATCTCTGCTTCGCTCTTTGATGCAATCAGCATATCATCAACGTGTAAGAGTAAGTAAATGAAAGAACCATCTTGTAGCTTGCTCAAATACGCACAATGATTGCATTTGCTTCTGGTGTGCTTTTGCCCCATCATAAACTTGTCAAATCGCTTGTACCACTGCCTCGGAGATTGCTTCAATCTGTACAACAATTTGTTCAGCTTGCAAACCCAATTTTCTTTTCCAGCAATTGTAAATCCTTCTGGCTGGGTCATGTAGATTTCCTCTTCTAAATCGTGTAAGAACGCAGTCTTCACATCAAGTTGAGCTAGCTCCAAATCCAATTGAGCTACCAAGGCCAACAAAATTCTAATGGAGGAATGCTTCACAACTAGAGAAAATACCTCATTATAGTCGATTCCCTCCTTTTGAGCGTTGCCCTGAGCCACCAACCTTGCCTTGTAGCGAACATCATTCTTGTCAGGAAATCCTTCTTTCTTTGCAAATACCCATTTGCAACCAATTGTCTTCTTACCTTTTGGTAGTTGTGCCAGGTTCTAGGTCTTGTTCTTATGAAGAGACTGCATCTCTTCATCCATGGCTTTCCTCCACTTTTTACTTTCTGTACTTAGTACTACTTCTCGATAAGTGGATGGTACATCATCGTCTACAACTGGAAGTGCATAGGCCACCATGTCAATGAATCGCTCAGGTTTGTGAATACCTCGTCTTGGCCTTTGAACTGCAATTGATTGTTGCTGTAAAGGTTCTTGAGTCGGAACTTCTTCCTCAATTGATTCCTCTTCTGTCACTGGAGTGTCAGTTTCTGCTTGCCTATCTGGGCTAATATTCGTCCCTTCAAACTCCACCTTCTGTGGAGTACCCTCCACCTGTTGCAGAGTACCATCGGTTTGAACAGCTTCACTTGTTACCTTTAACACGACAAATTCATCAAAGGTAACATCTCTGCTAAAGACTACTTCGTTTCTGGACACCATAATCGATATCCCTTTATTCCCGTGGTGATTCCCATAAAGAGAGCCTTCTTTGCCCTCGGATCTAACTTCGATTCCTTAACATGATAGTATGCAGTGGAACCAAATACATGCAAGAAATCATAATCTGTAGTAGGTTTTCCAGACCATACCTCTAAAGGTGTTTTACCACCAATTGCGGACGATGGTAAACGATTAACAAGGTGTTGCGCATATGTCATAGCTTTAGCCCAAAATTGTCTACCTAACCCATCATTAGACAGCATGCAACAAACTTTCTCCACCAATGTTTGATTCATGCGCTCTGACACCCTGTTCTGTTGTGGTGTTTTTCTGACCGTGAAGTGTCGAACTATGCCATACTTTTGGCAAACATCAAGGAATAGATCACTTGTATGTTCTCCTCCGTTGTCTATTATGAGAACTTTGATCCTTCCAGTCTGGTTCTCGATCATAGTTTTTCACTTAAGGAAAACTCCAAGCACTTCATCTTTGGTCTTCATTGTATACACCCAAACTCTTCTGGAAAAGTCGTCAACAAATGTGACGAAGTAGTGCTTTCCTCCTAGAGACGTTGTCTTGGAAGGTCTCCATACATCTGAGTGCATATAGTCTACAATACCTTTGTATTATGGATAGCGGTGCCAAACTTCACTCTCTTTTGCTTTCTCAGGTCTACAATACCTTTTGTATTATGGATAGCGGTGCCAAACTTCACTCTCTTTTGCTTTCTCAGACACAATGCTCATAAAAATCTAATTTGCAAGCTTTTGCACCTTTCAACAATCCTTGCTTCACCAAAGTCTGCAAGGATTTTTTCCCAGCATGTCCCAACCACATATGCCACAACCTGGTTGCTTCTGACTCTATCATTGTCGGAAGTTGCAGTTGCTGCTGCTCCAATAATTGTACTACCTTGGTAGTGATACAAGTTATTTCTTCTGATGCCTTTCATCACCACTGGTGCACCTGAGGTTACCTTCAAAATTCCATCTCGCATTGTTACAATTGAGCCTTTGGATTCCAAGGCTCCCAAAGAGATTAGATTCTTCTTCAAATCCGGCACATATCAAACATCTGTCAGAACTCTGGTTCCTCCATCTTGGTTTTTTAGTCGGATTGAGCCTATCCCAGTTGTTTTACAGGCTTTGTCGTTGCCCATGTAAACAACTCTCCATTTAGCTCTTCGAAATTGAAGAACCACTCCTGAACGGGACACATATGATAGGTACAATCCGAATCCAATATCCATTCGTCTAACCAGGATGTTGAAGGTGAAACCACCGATGAGAGCTTTGCATTATCACTATCGTACTCAGCTACACATGCATGTTGAGCAGCTTTTCCTTTCTCTTTTAGCTTCAGATAGTCTTTTTTCCAATATCCTTTCTCTCGACAGAAAGCACACTCGTCTTTTTCAAGTCTGGCCTTTGAACGAGATCTCCCTCTTCTTCCTTGCTTTCCCTGCTTCTGGCTTTGCGAACGGCTACCAATGCTTCTTCTGCTGCTACGTTCTTGCTTTCTTTTTTATTCTTTCTTCTTAATTCATAACTATATAAAGCAGCACAAACTACAACAAGAGATACTTTTTCTTTGCCATGAAGTAAAGTAGTTTCTAAATGTTCAAACTCGTTAGGAAGAGATGACAATAACATTAAAGCCAAATCTTCATCTTTAAAAGTGTCGTCTAAGTTTAACAAATCCGCTACTAACTGATTGAAAGCAGTAATGTGGTCATTTATACTGGTACCTGGTCGATAATCAAAGCGGAACAATCTTTTCTTCATCAGGAGCTTATTTTGACTGTTCTTTTTTTTATTATAAATTTGTCCACCAATGCCTTCCACAACTTATTTGCAGAAGTCTCATTCTTGAACGCATACTTGTGTTCTCTGGACATGCACGAACGAATTGTCCCACACGCCAGGCAGTTAGTAGTCTTCCAATCCTTTTCTTGAACATCTTCTGGTTTTTCTTCTTTGATGGCAATGTCTAGACCTTGCTAAAAGAGAGTGTCTAGCACCTCGCCTTGCCACATGCCGAAATGACCGGTACCGTTAAATATCTCAACTGCAAATCTCGCATTTGACATTATGCTTGTTGTCAAAATGGGTGAGGAGATTGATGCTTCAACTTTCATCAAAGTTGGTACTTCCGTTGTCATTATGACTCCAAACAAAAGTATTCAGTAGCAAACAATACGACAAAGCCTAGAATGAACCGTTAGCTCTGATACCACTTGTTGGGAAAATCGGGTATTTCCCACTCAAAAACAACTATGAATAGTACCTTAAGAACGGTACAATGCGCAGCCTACAAACCCAACATATTGCTACTGAATACTAACAATTATAGAAAAAATACCAGAATGCAAAATTACTAAAGCAAGAATAAAAAGAAAGAACACACTAGGATTTAGTGAGGTTCGGCAAATTGCCTACGTCCTCGGGACACCACCGTAGGAGACCACTTCATTAATCTCAAAGAACAATTACAACTTTGGGGTACTTATGACCCATTACTAGGATATCCTTGTTAAAGGACCTCCTTGAGTAAGAAGAGTGGATTTTTGGATACTAAACAAAGGAGGGGGAAGAGCTTATTTATAGAAGCCAAAAGTCCAAGTCGCCTTCATACAAAAACAATGTGGGACTTCCCACAAACAAGCTAAAACACAACATGACACTGAGTGAACTTTACCCTACTTTACTTTCTTTTCATGTTGCGTGCTTTAGTCTACAATGTTTACCTATCATGTTTTGTAATTAATGGCGAAAATGTTTTTATTTTCCTTTTTGTTGGTACAGATTTGCACTACGCATTCTTATATTCTTGGTATTTGCGTGGATGACTGCACTTGTCTTTAACTCATTAATGATGGCTGTACCTCTTTTACTTGGACGGGCACTTTTTCAAGCAGCGGCTGACTTCCTTGATGGATTTAAGTGTGATGGTAATATCGCTATCCTGTGATGTCTCCTTGGTTGATGCACATGTCAAAAGAATTGAATTGTGTTTATGGCTTATTTTGTAGATTTTTGTTCTTTCATTGTTGGAAGCTGTGTTATCCGGGCAGTTGTAATCTATACCAAGTATGGTCTAGAACATGCTCAAACAAGAGGTGTGGGGTCTCTTTTGAGCCAAATACGACAGTACTGTATGACAGCCTTCAAGATTTTTGCTCTTCTGTCATTAGGGGTATGCAATTTGATTTCTCCTTTCCGTCTGGCTTTTTCGTATAGGGTCTAAACATTTTTGTTTTTAATCATAATTCTGGTTTTTCTATTTAGATATTTGTAATTCCGACGGTGGTTGGTCTTCTGCTAGACCTAGTGTTGGTTGTTCCCATTCCATTACATTTGGATGAAGTCTCAATTTTCACCGTCTTTCAATGTTGGGTACTAGGATGGCTCTTTTTTATCACTTTAGTTGGACTGGTGAGTATTCCACCTTCTTGCATGAAAGCACGGAATTTAGATGTGATACGTATCATTGTTAGTAACCGAAACTATGCAATCATAATCACGGTTGCAACTAAAAATGTGATTCTATGACGAACGTGTAAAATTACAAGTATTAAATCATTAAAAGGTAACGATCAGTAACAGGATAACTTTTTTTGATTAAACCCAATTTTTATGTTGTCGCAGATAATAGTCGATAACGTGCATTCTCTTGATGGGAGGTGTCTGTTGCAGCTTCAGCGGGTACTTAACGATGGTCTTTCCCATCGACATGCCCTCTCGGTGCTCAAAGAGTTTCTTATAGTACTTTCTACTGCATACATGCTTGCCAAACCTGTATTAACCACGCTTGGATATCCCTTTCCAGTCAACTCTGCCATTCATCGTGTTGGTTGGCCAGGATACTTTGCTTTGAGCATCATGTGGTTTTGTGCAAAGATTCTCCATGCGTGCGTGACTTATTTGCACAGAAAGATCAGAGACGACCGCTACTGCCTCGGTCAAAGGCTGCAAGATTATGGGCAAGACGTTCGTTGTGGGCAAAATGAAGAGGGGACGGCACTAGAACTGCAAAACTGATAATTTTCGTAGTTGGATTGCCTGCAAGTGCAAAGTGGCTGACTTTTCATGGTTGCATGTATTTTGAGAGGTTTGTGGTCATATCCTTTGTATAGTCTCTATCGCCATTAACTGCCACGAAAATAGGAATAGAAATAGATAGGTTGTACATAGATTTAACCTTGAAACTAGTTAAACTCTGAGTGTTTGCTAATGGAAGGTCCAATTATACTATAATCCTATAGGGTAGTGAGAATGGCGGAAACCATATTTGTTGGAACATCTGTGGTTGAGAAGAGCTTATTTAGTTTTTATCACTTTTTATTTCTTTTATACTCTTAAATCGCTGGCTTGCTTCTGACTAAGCCAATGATTTTTAACTAAACGAGTTCACTTTTATTTGTACTGACTGGTTTACTTTAGATTGACCTACTGATTTACTATGTATTAGATTCCTTACATACTTTTGACTATTTTTTCCCAAAAAAATGCATAAATTTAGTTTCACACAAAAAAACTAAAAACTAAGAGAGAAAAAGTTCAAATCACAAATTCAGCTAAGTCTGACCCCCCACCCCAAAATCCCCAATTTCCTATCATTAGGGCATCATCGCGTGGGAACTCTATGATCTCTGGTGGGAGATTTGTCGAGATCTGAGACAGACAATAGAGATCCACGGGGGGAGATCCCGCGAGATTTTACGTTGCCGGTCCGGCAGCCGAGGGATCTAGCGACACCTTTTCCACGGAAGATAGAGAAGAAAGTGAGGGTTTGGTTTATCTAGTTTTGGTTTTTTGAATGCTGAAGGTATTGTATTTTAAAGGGAAAAGAAAAGGTAGTAGTTAGTAGTAGTATTTTGCTGCTCAACTATTGTAAACAGGGTGTTTTCTTTAAGTCACCCAAAGAAGGTTGTATTTGAAAGGGAAAAGAAAAGGTAGTAGTTAGTAGTAGTATTTCGCTGCTCAACTATTGTAAACAGGGTGTTTTCTTTAAGTCACCCAAAGAAGACAAATTTTAAAGAGGGAAAAAATGGATGAGAAAATGATACACATCTTAAAAATTAAAATATAACTTGTAATGAATAATACAACTAGAGAACAAACCAATAATTTCAGTTTTATGAACTTTACAGAATTTTTACATGTATTATAATATTTTCCTTTTAAAAAATACATTCATAACATTTATAATTTTTTTATGATGTGTATCAGATCTTAAATGGATGTACAATTACTTATTCTTTTTTATTTTTTATTTTTGTATTTTCAATAATTACTTCTTAAAGTTTATGATTTTCCCCCAAATTTAAGTTGCCTTTTCACTTTGTCCCTGAATTTGGAAAATTATCATCCGCCCCTTTTGAACTTCAAAAAGTTAGCAAATTTATCCCCCACTTAGATGGATGGAAAAACTGATATGGTGCTGACTTTGAAAGAACAAATGTTATAAGTTTTCCCAAACTTAAGCCACTTTTTCACTTTGCCCTCAAAATCTTCCCTCTTTCTTCACTTAAGTGGACGGAAAAGCTAAAATGATACGAAATTTGAGAAAATAAAATATAATTTAAGCTAAAAAAACCAATTATTGAGAAAAATAATAATAAGACTACTAATTATTAAATTAACAAAAGTTACTTATAAAAAAAAAAGTTGGGTTGCATGGGGAATTGGTGGTTTGCGTTGGAGTGGTTCAAAATCGCTTCTGGAATGTTTGTTTTAAGGATTCGTACTTAGTTCTGAATTATAAGTCTTAATTCTTTATAATATTTTTCTCTCACAAAAAATTTAAATTTTAAAAATTAAAATAATAAATTATAATTTTAAATTTGTTAATTTAATATTAGGAGCATTTTTATCACTACTTTATCTCATTAACTAGAGTTTTTGATTAAATTAGGCTAATATTTCAAATTTATTGTTATGCCATTTTTCACGTCCCTTTAACTAAAGTAAAGGACAAATTTGCTAACATTTTAAAGTCTGGGGTACAATGAACTAAAGTTTGTGGGATTTATAATTTTGTTTTTCGAATTTAGTGGAACATCAGATTTTCCATCCATCTAAGGGACAAAGGGGGCAAATTTACTAACGTTTTGAAGTTCAAATAGACTGATGGAGTAGTAACAGTTTTCCGAATCTGGGGATAAAGTGAAAAAGTGAAAATAATGGGGAAGAAATTTATAAAATTATCTTTCTTATTCTTCTTAGTTACTTTACAGAGGCTGGAGGTTAAGGCCTGGTCTCTAATCTCTATGACCAAAAAGTAAGAGAATCAACTTATTAACTAGGCCTGGGCCGACCTTTACCCTAGTCTACCTTAATCCTAGCAATTTGGGCCAGCCACTATAGATTGTTTGCTATACTGCACTGCCTTATCAATATTCTACCAATAATGGTAGTATGAAGAAGAATCTACTATTTTTTTAAATATATATATATATTATAATTTTTTTTAATCTCTGGTTCAAAAACGGCAACTTGCAAAAAAAAGGGGCAAAAGAACATTATAGCCATATATGGAGTTGATTTTATTTTTGTTTTTTTACGTTTTTTTGAGAAAAAAAAAACAAGAAAGAAACGACGTTTGACACAATTAAAGACAAGAAACGGAAATGAAAACTATTTTTTTAGTTTAGTATAAAATGAGAGTTAGTCGTTTTTCATTTTTTGTTTCCGTTTTCTCCTTTCTTGAGCACAGAGAGAGAGATATTAATGGATTTTTTTATACTGAAAATAATCTCTCGATAAAACTACCAAACATATTTTTAAAAATGATTTTTGTTTGGGATTAAAAACATTTTCATTTCTATTTTTATACAAAAAATAAAATCATTTTAAAACGAGTTTCAAACGTACTCTATAATTTCTCATCATCCTTGAGCTATTTTTCGGTCTCTCAGAAAGAGAAAGCTAAAAACATCATACATACTTAGCTTAGCAAAATGAAACTAATCTGAAATTGGTAAGGTGGGTGAGATAAAAAAGGGTAGCGTCAAAGACCATCCCACTTCCAGTCTGGGAAAAGGAGAAATTATATTGCATCCAAAAAAATGTCCCAATATGTAATAAGCAACGTAGCCAAATCAATCAGAAGAAAAACCCCAAACAAGAAAAAAACCAATTCAAATATATATATATATATATATATATATCTATCTATCTATCTATCTATCTATCTATCTATTGTTTTCACTGAGAAAGGTCGATGTCTCATCATGCACTAATTGTAGCGACCACCCATAAAAGTATAGGATACTACCACCTACTATTCTATATATCGAAAAAGGCAATGTGTTTTTTCAATATATATATATATATATATATATAAAAGAAATAACAAGGAAAAGTCATATTTCCCCAATTTGGAAAATCGTAACCAGATCGCTTTCGGGCTAGAAATGGAAATCTTCATTTTCCCCTTAAGCTAGCAAGCTATCATTGACAGGCACAATGAGAACTTTTGACAGGCGGTGATGTAGTTCTTTACTTATTTATAAAATTAATCCAATAACATTAGCCATGTTGGTTAATTATGGTAATGTCCGATTTCTTTTCCAGCATGCATTAATGAGTGAAAGCCTCTTGTAATTTTGGCAAAGAAAAATTCTGCATGGTTTTGAGAGAAAAATACTTTAATTAGATCAAACATGTGGATTTGATTTGAAAGTTAAAAAAGACTTTTAGTAATTAATAAGAAAACTTTTAGGGTAGGATCTAAAAAATAAATTACATATTGTATTAGAAATTTTCTGTTTCTGCATATAATTTTATTTTAATGTGATTTTAAGTCCTTAATTGGATCAAATGGTTAAAAATGTAACAAATTTAAACGGATCCAATCAGTAAATGAGACTTATTTTTTTGCTTAAAAGATCTAAAAGTTGTAAACAAGGAAAGAGACTGAAATAAGAGAAATACCTACCTAGTTTCTAGTTGCTACATATGAAAATGAACGAATAAAAAAAATTGAAAAATGGGATTAAATAGCTAGTCCATTTCAGAGTTCTGACTATCTATAAGACAAACAGTGGCAGATTTAAAAAACCTGCCACAAGTCAACTTTAGGATAAACTTCATCGGAACTTTCATAGAAAACACACCACATTCAGTTCTAAAGTAGATTTCATTCTAAACGAACAGTGGAACGGACAATTAGAAAGCTGAGGGACAAGGTAACTATACATTTATTGCATGATCTATGTCTTATAATGAAGCGTTTGGTAGAGGGATTCGTTCCCTGATTTGAATCATGATTCGTGGTTTGCTATAGTATTTTCTCTCACAAAAATTACACGTAAATCAAATATGCTTCAAATCATGCGAAATATACTACAATATTGGTCACATGCAAAACAATCTTTCTGGTAAAGTTATTGGGACATTATTATACATGTGTAATAACGAAAAGATGGGATGATTTTCTTAATTTGTTCCGCTACTCTTGAACCCTTACCAAACTTATACCAACGAAATTAAATGAGAAATCGTTTGCTATGATTTTCTACAACTTATTATCTATGTCATTTTTAAATAATTGAGTGTTATTAAAGCCTTTTATTTTATTTTTATTAGTTGAATGACAATGGTTTATTTTTAAGTTGTATGAATAATATTTTTTACTATTTGTTAATTTAGAAATGTGTGAACTGCATTCCCGTTTTCACAGCACAACCAAATAAACTCTATTCAATCACAAAAAAGACAACTTACACTTGTGAAATTGAAGCTTCTATGACTATGAGAGTATGACGCGCGCCAAATACCCATGGCCAATTTTCTTTTAAGAAAATTTTTTTTTTTTCTGTGCGTCCCCTTAAAATAGCGTACCAGAAGAGCAGGTTTTACAAGTCATTCGATTCTAATTTAGGAGGCCTTTGAATGTTTGGTAATGCTCTTTTAATTGTACAGAGGGTAGTCGAGTGAGTAATCTATTCGAGTTTTTGACATGAAAATTTGAACAACACGAGTACAAGATCATCTTGTTTAACTTCTTTAATTGGTTTCTGCTTTTGGTAGTTATTATTAATATAATATTATATCTAACATAAAGTTATATATATATATATATAAATAAGAAGTTAAACAAGATGATTATATATCTTAAATAATTAATTAATAATAAATAAATTATAAAATTAAAATTATGAATATTATATATGATTGATCAAATATCATAGATTGACATAATTTAACCAATAAAACATGTCACAATCGTATCATAAGTGCACAACTATAAATTAAATTCTATTCTAACATACAAATTATTTGACATTAACACATCGAGCACATCGGTCTCTCGTGGCCGTCATCTGCGAAATAAGTACATAAAACATTAGTTTTCTTAACATAAATCATGGCTAATAATTAAATGCCATATTCAATCGTTACGTTTTCTAAAATACCCATAAAAGAAAACGGTGGAC